AGAGAGAGGGGCAGAGAGAGAGAGAGAGAGAGAGAGAGAGAGAGAGAGAGAGGGAGGGAGGGAGAGAGGAAAAAGGAAGGAACTCAGGCTGGAAGCTGAAGATCAGCTGACCTCAGCTGATGGGGAGGGAGTGGGCGTGGCTTGTCTCTTAAAGGGATAGAGCAGACCATTACAAACTCTACTTCAGTCTTGCCAACAGACACCGAGAAGTCATGTACAAAGTCATCAGTGTATCTATTAATCTTCTGGTCTCTTTCTGCCCCTCCATGTCTTTCCTATGATGTCTCTCACAAAGCCACCCCACAGCTGCTTCTCCTCCCTGTTCTTTCTGAAGTCTGTTTGCAAGAACGCACAGTTCCTTCCCATTCTGTCCTCTTCTCTCACACCCACCAGCCTTTGTCTGCTCTGTCGATTCTTCCAGCCTCCTTACAGAGGTCTGGGATGGGATGGTGTGTTGCACGGCCTCCTGGGACATGCTTATTAAAATGCACATCTTGGCTGTCTTTATGCCTTTTCTATCACAAGTTATCTAGGAGAAGAGGGGGAACTTCCTTGAGTTCTGATCCTGTTATCTCTGAGCTCCAGAATAGGGAAGTCATTTCTTTATTCCTCTCTTTTTTTTTAATTTTATCTTTTCATTGTGAAAATCTGCAGGTTTATAAAAGGCTGAGGAAGTGGTATAAAGTTGTACCTGCCCTTCACCATCATCTCTGAACATTAGCATCTTACCCAACAGCCTCAAAATCAGAAAAATGACTTAGCAATATACAGAGTCAGAAGCTCTTATTCCATTTTTGCCAACCAAAGGGTTAGCACCCTCTTCTGGACCCGTCAAGCCAGGATCCCACATCACCAGTAAGGCTGCTATTTCTTTAGAGTGGATATACCCTCAACATTTCCTTTGTGCCAGGACTTTAACCCCTTTGGAGAAACCTGGCCAGTTCCTCTATCTCCCTCCATTTGCATTTGCAAAGGTTCCCTCTCAGTTAACCGGAACTGCATTCCAGGAAAGTGAGTCTGTGCTGTACTTCCTGCTCGGCAGCAGGAGGCCTGCGTGGCTGCCGCGCTGCTTTTGTTCATAGGGCGAAGGTGACGTCAGGCGAATTCTTCCATCGTAATTATTGTTTTCCTTTGTAATTAATAGGCACCTGTGGGGAGAAACTTTCGAGACTACACAAGCATCCTGCTTAACATGGGTTTGCTCTCTAATTTCAGCATCTGTGGATGCAAAAATGATTACCGTGGTGACTAACACAGTGATTTTCTAGTTTAATAATTTCTTGCATGTCTCTTGCTTATAATACTGCCAGGTGCAATCACTCCCTCCGAGGAACAGTTTTGTGAAGGAGTTAGCAGGAGCAAACATTGTACACACACTGTCTCGTCTATGCTTGGAACTGTGTGAGGTACATGTGCAGACAAAAAGAGAGAGTATCCCAGAGAACAAGCAAGCTAGTCAAGGGTTGGCTCCCTTCTGTGTCCCAGAAGCTTTGGGTCAGAATGTTTGCATGTGTCCATTCTCCATCAGATATGCCCGCCCATCCCCCCCCCCCCCCGCCCCGCCAATATCTATTAGGGAAGGGTGGGAGCTATCTCAGCATTTCATGAGCAAAAGGACTCAGAACTCTGCATGGCCCAGAGTTACAGGAGATTCCAAGGAGTTGGGACCCGAGGGACACCTAGTCAACACTTGTTGGCCCTTTGGAAGATGGTGAAAGTGTCCGATTAGGACTTCTCCTATGCAGCTTGTGACCTTAGCCTCAGGTCCCCTGTGCTGGCTGCAGGCTTTTCTGGCTAGACCTGTTCTGTCCAGGCTCAGCGGTGTATCCTTGCTAACCTCTCAACAGTTCTGCAAAGCAGGCATGTTATAAAAAGGGGCCCAAAAGAGTGGCGTTGTCTAGTGAGTCCCTCACTGCTTTGGTTGGGCTTTTGCTATGACAGACACCAGAATAAAGAAAGCCATCTGTGTGAGCACCTCTTCAGCTCTTACCTTTGCCCTCCTTTATTGAAGATTTGGCCCCCAAATTCTCTATAAAGCATTATCTCTGTTTTTCTCTTTATTCTTTATTTCTACTTATTTTTATTTTAAAATGTTGCATATCTTTTCAGGGGCTTATTCACTATCTGTAGACCTTCACAGAAGTCTGGTAAAATGTTTTGCTTTGTTTTGGTTATTTTTGAGACAAGATCACTCCATGTAGACCTAGCTGTACTGGAACTCTCTCTATAGATCAGGCTGGCCTTCGAACTCACAAAGATTTGCCTGCCTTTGCCTTCTGAGTGCTGGGATTACAGGTGTGTGCCACACCCCTGGCTAAAGACTTGGTCTTACTGCACAGCCCTGGCTGACTTGGGACATGCTCTATAGACCAGGCTGGCCTGAAAGTCATAGAGATCCACCTGCCTCTGCATCCAGAATGATGAGTTTAAAGGCCTGTACTATCAGGCCTGTCTCTGCTTTTGCACACATGAAAATGAGGTATCATGATACTGTTGTTGTTGGAAGGGATCGGAAGGCAGAGTCACCGGAGTACACCGGTTGACATGCATCCTTGAAGAAGAGCTCACATTACTTACTCCGGGGCTGGTAACAAGATGCAAGTCCTAGGATGCGTGGAGCTCTGAAATGTATTGCTTTTCAATTCAACCTCAGAGGCCCTGACTTTGCTGCTAGGACAGGGACCCCCACATTGGCATGTTTGAAGCTACTTAGTGATTCTTGCAAGATTCAGAACCACATTCCATAGACTCTTACAGATTTGGAGATCTTCAAGAGACCTGTGTTAGAGATGTGTCCGATTTGGCATTTCTCAAAGCAGGTTCCTCGTCCGCGGTCACTTCTTGAAAAGAGGGGTTTAGGGAAACACCATGTAATAAACTCATAGATGAATCACAAAGCATATTGGGTCAGTGAAAAAAACTCTGAGAAACTCCACAACAAAGAAATCCCTTTAACCTGGGTCGCCCAGAATTTTCCCCTTTAGACCACAGAACAAAGCACCTGTGATTACCATAAACATAATACATGAGTCCTATAGACCCTGTTCTAGTAAAAGTGTATAGAATAGTTATGAAAGTCAACCAAAGGATTTGGGAAGGCAAGGATGCATTTGCAATGTTGGCTTGTTTAAACACTGATGATGTTGTGTGTTCCTGTGTTTTTCACGTGCCTATGTATAGTGGCTTTTGTTTGGTTTTGCTATACAAAGGATTGAACCCTGGGTCTCAGGGCCTTATACATGATAGGTAAGTTCCTTCCCAAGAGTCATACCCCTGGACCTGCTGCAGTTTTTAAATGAATGTATATGCTAATAAATTTGTATAATGAATGATTTCATGCATGTATTTTTAGTTTATTCTCTCTACACAATTGAGATCACATTCACATTAACCCAGATGAAGGATTAGACAGTCAGTATTTAGAGAGACCTGGTTGCTTTTAAGCATCTCATTTCTGGTCATTACCTCGCCTATTTATCTGCCTCACCATCGACATCACCACCATCCAGAGCAAACATTTGTGCCCAGCTACTCACAAGGGCTGGTGATGTTCACGAATCTACCTGGTCCCTGCCTTCAGCATTTTTTTCAGTCTAGTGAGGGAATAGCACATGTACTTAGTCAAAATAAAAATGCGTGGTAGATTTAGGTGAGTGCCACGGGCACAGGGAACGCCATGTTAGATGACCATGGCTGGTCATCTACCTTACCACAAATGCCCTGTCCAGCCCCTTCTATATGGAGAGGACATCACAAATAAAGTGTCTTAATTTCATAGAAATCAAACCCAATCTCCTTCTCTTATCTCAGCAAGTCGCAGGACTTGTGACTCTATTTTACTCTGTTGGGCACATTTATCCTGTGATGGAAGGGAGCCCTCCCTGGGAGGGCAGATGACAAGAAGATGCTGTCACAAGGAGCAGTTCTGATGCTGGGAACAGGGTTCAGGCTGCACATTACAGTGGGTTGTTCTTGGGGACGGCTGATGTGAAACACGCTCTGTTAACCGTGTAGAGGCAGAAAGACCCTGGCTGTGGTCACTTTACACAGCCACCTTTCCTCGCGCCTCGTCCTGACGGCTTATGAAGTTGATGGCAGTGTGGACTAAGTCATCATTTCTCATCTTGAATCCCAGTCTGGGGACAGGGCCTTATTGGAGCCTTTCTGATGTTTTCACTGACTCCATATTCGCTATCATTTGAGGACCAGATGTAGTGATTTTAAGCACTTCATAGTAATAGATCTCATCATGATTCTACCTGTGA